CAATTGACACTCCATAGTTGTTGCAAAGGGCATTGCATCGTATCCGCGACGAAGTTAATAGCATGACCCTACGTTTGCAAAGGTCCTCACTAATGAAGACCGCAAATGAGCGTGCCGAAGATGGGTTAATGGATGATGCACACCAGTACTTCGCCTGGAGCATGGATGTTATGTATGAATCTGATATTGAAATGTCAGATGATGATGATAATGAATGAAATTGTTTGGATGAATGACCAAACCATTTATGTTGTGATGGATTTATAATGCTTATCCACGACTTATAAATGAAGGGAGATATTTCAATTGTTTTTAAGGAGTTCTTGTAATTCTACAAATAACAAATACCTTTGTTTTCTCTCCGTTATTGTTATTTTGAAGAACGTTTTCAATACCAGCCACTCCATGCACTCACTCCACGCACTCACTCTTCTCTCCTCTCTCTCTCTCTCTCTCTCCCTAACACACAAGCACTCATCCCACACAGACACACCAAACCCCACACACCCACACCAAACCAATATAATTTTTAATATATATAAATTTTATTTTATAAAATAATTGTTACTTCATAAAATTAAAACCAATATAAAATATATATATATATATATATATAATAAAATTTATAATAGCAAATAATAATCAACTTTATGAAATTAAGACCAATATTTTCAAATAATTTTTTTCAAATATTTTTTTTTTCACTTCATTTTTTTTTCAATTAATCTTTTATTTCAATTAAATATTTTTCAATTAAATTTTTTTCAATTATTTTTGTTTTCAATTATAATATGTGTGATCCCATTGTTATAAATAATAAAAATAAATATAAATATTTTAGGCTTGAACAAACATATTTTTTATTTTATGTTTTTATGGGTTTTTAAACATTTTTTTTCAAACCAAACGTGTTTGTAATTTATGTTTTTCTAAAAAGAAACAAAAACCAGTTTTTAATTTTTTTAAAAACATAAACCAAAAATGTAAACGTTACCAAATGCTACCTTATTTATTTTTATTTTAGGGTTTAGGATTTATAGTTTAATTCTTAAAATTTATTTGAACTTCAATTTTATAAATTGATGTCTCAATTTGTAAGATAATTTTTTTGGTTTATAAATGCTTGCCTCAATTTGTAAAATTGAGGAAAAAACGTAAATTACTATAAATAATGCAGAGACTACGGAGAATGAGAGAGAGATAGAGATGTGAAAGAGATTTGTGTGATTCATCAAAATAAGTAAGAATAAAAAATTATGAAATTATAATTTCGAATAAATAAGTGTGACACATTTACATTATCTGTACAAGTTTGATTTACAAAAACTATAACAATTACTACAAATAAAAAAAAATTATACAGTCCATATCACACCCGTTAATGCCCTAACCTGCCCCCAGTCCCACAACCCCGACCGTAGACCTCTCTCCTCGGTCTCCTGCGGTAGACTCTCTGAATATCTGGCACTCCCTCCCCTGCATGTGGCCCTCCACTGAATGCCTGTGGAGCCTGTGAGTGTGACCCCCCTCTCCTGCATCTATTGCCCCTGATCCTGTCTCTGTCTGAAGATCGAATACTGCTGTGAGCTGTGAAACTCCCTCATCTGGTGCAACTATATCACGATCTGCAGCTGGACCTCGACCTTTGTCTCTGCCCGCACCCCGACCTCGGCCGTGACGTCCCCCATGACCTTAACCTCGGCCTCTTCCTCGCGTTTGGGGGGGGGCTCAATATGGGCCTCATCTTCAACGTGGGAGATGTCAGTGAGAACTGCATCATGTACACTCATGGGGCGCGGTCGAAGTAGTCCCCAGAAAAGTAGGTGGTAACTGGGTGGGTGGGGTAACAACATCATGCATGTACCGGAGCGGTGTCCAATCAGGGTCAGCATGCTGGGTAGGATGTACGTGTGGAGAATCTGGAGAAATGTATGGGGTATCATATGGTGGGGTGACTGAAGTCCAAGGACCTGCTGTGGCTGGCGCTGAAGTGGAAGGCACTGACGTGGACGAGACTGATGTGTTTGGAGCAGCTGCTACACTATGTACACCGTAGAGAGATCTATAGCCTCTAGCAATCCACGATTGAATCCTTAAACCTCTTTTGATGCTTCTCTTTAATTCATTTATGTGAAGAAAAAAATATATATATATATAGGATAGAATTGTTGTCTTAAAGGCATAAGAGCAAGAATGATGGACCATTAAGATAAGGCATGAAAAATCAAAAATTCTTTAACTAGTTATAGTTACTACATTGAAACAGAGAAAGGATGATGGACCAGTATTCTGTTTTTTTTTTTTTGAATCAAATAGAGTCAAAATTAAATATATTTTTTTTGAATAATTTCATTTAGTAAAGATTAGTTTCATGAAATTTAACTTAGGAAAAACGTTAATCTTTCCATACACTTAGTATTTTTAATTGAAATTCATATTATGAAATTCATATTTGTCATTTTTTTAAAAGATAAAATTGAGTTTAACCCCCTTTGCTTTACTCCATGTGTGATTTACCTTTGATATTTGAAAATAAGAACATAACCCCATTATGACCTAGCACATATTTCACACTTGATGTGAACTTGGATTGAACGTCTGACGGTATAATTCATATAGTCCACAAACTAGAAGAACATTATAGTTATTTCCAAATTATATGGGTACTTTGCACATGCACATTGAAGTGAAATTTGTATTAGGGCATAAGGTATAATGCTTGGTGATTAGTGGATAATATTGTCATGTGGTGCACTTGTAACACCTAATAATTTTCTACTAACACTTAAGGAATTGACACAATTCCTTCTTCTTTTAATAAATAGATGAGTTTTATATAAATAAATATTTTTAAAATAAGATTTTATTGGTTAACAAAAAAGAAAGAGAACTTAATGGAACATGAACATTCCCAATAGGACTTTTAAGTAATTAACCCAAATATTAGGACTTCTTCCTTAAAATTTAAGAAAAACAAAAACAAAATTTGATATTGAAGATTAAATTTAAAAACAAAAAATTAATAGAGCAGTGATGTATACTGACAAAATTTGTATAAATTTTTTGGGTTTGATGCCAATCTTTCCCCTAAAAGAAATGTACATGATTTTCATTTGTAATAAAAGGCAAATTGAATCTCTAGTCGTGCAGTTTGCTTCTTGTCTCAAATCAATTTGATTCTTGAAGCTCTAATTGTATTAACTTTTATCCTTTAATTTTACACAATGCATGAATTAAGTGCAACAGATAATATCTAGTAACAAATTAGACCAAAATCAAATGCAAAATAATTCATTCAAAAGGGAATAGATCACTCACACTAATCCCTTAATTAGTTTGAGAATAATAAATTGACTATTTTAGTCTTGATTTTAATCCAATTTCTAAACACTGAATAAAGGTAAAATACTGAATAAAATTGACTTTAAGAGAACATGATTTCTTTTTTTAAAATTGGCTTTATGAGAACATGATCTTTTTTTTATTATCAAAACTCTCAAATTTTGAATTTTTCAGATTCATTTCAATTTTCAGATTTTGAATTCAATCATACAGTTTACAGTCTTATTTTCTGGAACAAAATGATCATATATATGTAAGCATGTGGACCTCGAATTGAAATTGCCAGTCCACCTTAATTCTCAATTCATCAATTTCATAATATGAATTTCAATTCTCAATTCTCAATTATATGAACTTCATAATATGACATTAACAATTCTGAATTATATGAATTTCAATTCGCATAATTTTATTCTTAATTAAAAAAAATTCCTTTTATTAACAAGCAATTTTATAAAATTTCCAATTCAATAAATATAGGTTGGTTTATTCACAATACAAAATTTCAAACCCTAATTTCAAAAAATATACAATAATTTCAACAAATTGAAAACCTTAATTTCAACAAATTTAAAACCCTAATTCCAAACCCTAATTTCAACAAATCGAAAACCCTAATTCCAAACATTAACAATTCTAAATTATATGAATTTCAAGTCGCATAATTTTATTCTTAATTAAAAAAAATCCCTGAAAACCATAGACCATAATCATAAACCCTAACATTTTACAACTCAAAACCCTAATTCAAAACATTAACAATTCTGATTAACAATTCAAAACCCTAACACATTTATAATTTCATTTTGTTCCAAACATTAACAATAAACCAACTTAATCATAATTTCTGATTTCACAATTCAAAACCCTAACATTTTATGATTTCATAATTTCATAACCACACATTTAAAACCCTAACACATTTCATAATTCCAAACCTTAACACATTTAACCACACATTTCATAATTCAAAACCCTAACATATTTATAATTTCATAACCCTAATTTCTAATTTCAAATTCAAAACCACACATTCACAAACACAATAAACACATAAGATTGAAATGAGACATAGAGAGATAGATGCCATACCACAGAGAGAGAAAGAGCAGAGATAGAGAGTAAGAGCAGAGGGAAAGGGAGAGCGAGAGTGCGAGCAGAGGGAGAGAGCTCGAGCAGAGCAGAAGAGTCGTCTGAGAGGGAGGAGATCGAAATAAGTGTAAAAACGTGATAGCAAATGAGGGCTTCTCCGTGTTTTATGTAAGTTGTAAAAGTGTGATTTCAATTCACGCTTTCATTAATGAACAGTGAAAGCGTGATTGTCAATCACGTTTTCTTAACAAAATTATATGAACAGTGAAAGCGTGATTCACAATCATGTTTTCTTCAGGGAAAAAAAAAATAATTATATGCACAGCGAAATTGTGGCTTGGATCCAGGTTTTCTTCAGAAATTTTTTTTTTATGTTAAAAGCATGATTTAACCACGTTTTCTTAATTAAAAGCATGGTTTGCAATAGCGTTTTCACTATTCATTACACTTTGGGTTCCAAATAGTAAAAATGCGATTTGTAATAACACTCTAATTTAATTTGAAAATTTCATACAAACTAGGGCTACTTTGAGAATTAACATATATGGAAAAAGCCTCGATGTGTCCAGACAAGTGAATTCGTGATCTATTCAAGTGATGTATCCAGACAAGTGAATTCTTATTCCGACAATATATTGGTTTTTTTTTCACCAAGCCCTCCATCGAAACAGACTGCAAGTCGCTTGCCCCTAACTTGGAACTCACAAAGCGTAGAATGGCTTTCTGAAGAGATGATCAATCAAAGCATCATCATCATCCCAAGTTTCACACACAAAACGCTTGTCTTACAGCTCTCCTATTAAACCCTAGAAAATTCTTCTCTCTCTCTCTCTTTAAAACCTAGTTTCCAAGGTAAGAAGACCTGTGTGTTAATGGCGGTCTCCGAGGAAGAATCTTCGTCTGCCAAGTCTCGATCGGGCTCAAATGGCGTCCACTATCTCGCCAAATGCGTCCTCAGAGGGAGCGTTGTTCTTCAGGTTGTCCAAGGCCACATTCGCTCTCCTTCCTCCAACGATGTTGTCTTCGGCAAGGTCTCTTTCCTCTTTCTCTTTCTAATTTCACTCTATTTGTGTACTTGCATACATTTATTCACTGTACATACATAAATACATACATACATATACATGTATATATTGCAGTGGAGTTGATCGTTGATCAGGCTTCATTAGCCTTTATTATGCTGCATTTGCTGGCCGGGATATGGTCAGAAATTAAAAGAAAAAAAAAAGGAGAAAAAAAAATTGAAAATTTTGAATCTCACTATGTGCCAATAAATGAGGTATGGTAAATTATCTTTGCTTTTGTGATATTTTTGGACAATCAAGATATATGAAAATTGGTCAGTTCTGAATATTCGGTTGCATGTTTCATTTTTTGTTACAATTGCCTTTTATATGTTGATACACATGACGGTGTGCAATTGCTTTTTCAGCAATGCTAGGAACAGAATTATTCACAGAAAATGTAATGGAAGGCTGTGATTAAACTTAGTTATGGAGGGATCCATATTCAGAATGAATCTTGACCTATCAATGCATTTTCGATGACCCATTATGAGTTTTAGTTTTGTGTTCTTAGCATCAGTGTTGCTTTTTATGTATTGATACTCACATAGATGTGCAATTGCTTTTTATGTATTATTATTATTTTATAATCGGGTATACATGTAAAACCCCGACTAATCCCAAGACCCACACAAAACACCCCTCCACGTGGGCGGGGAAATCTTAGGCTATGCCCACAGGTGTGGCCTAAGAAGCACGGACACTTCTACATAGGAAGTGTGTCCTGTCCGACACGACACTCTTTGGACACTCTTGAAAGCGTCTCCAACTCTTCTTCAACATGTTTTAATTAAAAAATCAAATGCATGACATCAAACATTTCATGGATACTTCTTGAACCCTCCAAATGCGACCTATATGATGAATTCCTTAATTATAACAATATTCTTCATTCTTCATAACACAACTTATGCATTTTAAATATGTTTCGAAATATTTATAAGATAAATAAATTATGTGTATTACACTGTTATATAATTGTTTTGCATTACTTAGAATGCAATAGCTATGTGAATGATATCTTGATGTTTAATTTATGAAATATGTAGCTTTTTAATGTAAAAATATATTGTGTTACAGTCTTTTTTTTATATTTATCTTTGAACAAATTATTCATATATATGACATAATAAATTCATAAAAATATCAAACTTTAACATGTCCCAAGCGTGTCGTGTCTTGCATTTTTTGAAAATTGACGTGTCGGCGTGTTGGTGTCGATGTTGTTTCGTCGTGTCGTGTCATGTCATGTCATGTCTGTGTCTGTGCTATTGAGGGTGTGGTTTCTAAAGGATTGCATTTTACGTGTATCATGTAGATGTGCATAACTGCAATATGCATGTATATGGTGGCAGGTCAAAGTTTCTGTTGGCTGGAAGTTTATATAGATATTCTATTGGGTTTTTACAGCTCAGGAGTATACCTTTAACAGTCTTTGTAACCAAAGCATGTTCATTGAATTGGTCATACCTGCTCTTTTTCTATCCACTTTTATTTTCCAGTTGCTAAAGGAAGAATATTAAAGAAATCTAAAACAATTTTGATTGCCAAATTCACACCAAAGCGAAAGTGAATTGTAGGTTTATTTTTGTCACATAATGATTTTCAGTATAATATTAAACTATTTTGGAACATTGATGTGAATTGTAGGGTACATTGATGTGATTAGGGACATGTATGAATGTGTGGTGACTACTATTAGATCGCCTGTTGGAAAGACAAGTGAATTTTCAATTACTGTGAGGTTACGCCAAGGATCAACCTTAAGTCCTTATCTTTTTACTTTAGTTATGGATGAGTTGACGAGAATTATTCGGGATGATGTGCTATGGTGTATACTCTTTGCAGATGATATCGTGTTAGTGGACGAGACTAGAAAATGAGTTAACACTAAGCAGAAGACGTAGAGAGAAACACTTGAATCTAAAGGATTTAGGATAAGCAAAATAAAGGCAGAGTACATGAAGTGTAATTTTAGTAATAGTAGCAATGGAAGTAGAGGAGAAGTGAACATTGAGAATCAAGAACTATTTAAGGGTAAACATTTTTATTATTTAGGATCGATTATCACAACGTTAGGAGAGATTGTAGTGGATGTGGTCTATAGAATTAAGGCAGGGTGGATTAAGTGAAGAAGTGCATCTGGGGTACTATGTGATAAACGAGTACCTAGACTAGACTAAAAGGAAAGTTTTATAGAACGACTATTAGAACAGCGATTTTGTATGAGATGGAATGTTGGGCAATTAAGAAACAACATGTAGATAAGATGAGTGTTTTGGAGATGAGGATGCTAAGGTGGATGTGTGGTAAGACTAGAAAAGATAGAATTAGGTATGAGTATATTTGTGAATGGGTAGGAGTAGCACCGATAGAAGAAAAGTTGATAGAGAATAAATTGAGATGGTTTGGTCATATATGATGGAGGCCAACAGAGGCAGTAGTAAAGAGATGTGATACAGTAACAGTAAATGAAAGTGTTAGGGGGAGGGGTAGACGTAAATTGACGTGATTGAGTGTAGTAAATAGAGATATGAATCTCCGTAATTTGACTGATCGAATGACCGTTGATAGAGCCGAGTGAAGAAGAATGATTCATGTAGCTGACCCCATTTCATGGGACTTAAGGCTCGGTTTGGTTTGGTTTTGGTACGACTATTTTTGTGTGTGGATAAGATAATTGTATTAGAAAAAACATTAAAGGGTCCAACTGTGTACACATGAAGTATATGGAATACGACCAAGAATAGTCGCCCAAAAATGTCTATATATCTACATCGATATACAACTCTCCCAAAAAGTCAACTAAGATTACAATGGAAAGTGAAGATCATATTTCATCCACAAAGACAAGGATGCCAACACAATCCCTGTGCAGGCATAATTCAAACTTTCTTTCCCCTCTAAAGATCTGCAGTTCCTTTCCTTCTCAGTACACCATATAAGGCATGAGTGAGACATATCCTAAGGCTTCCTATCACCTCAAATCCTTTGTGCCAACAAGCAAAAATGCCCTTCATTGATCTAGTCCTAGAATTTTGAAGCCACGGGGCAATGCAATAAAAGATGCTTCACAAGCTCTTCGATCCTCTTACACATATAGCACCCAAGTAACGCGGACACATGACACAACATAGACACGGACACGAACACAAATATGTTGACATGGTGATTTTCAAAAAATGCAGGATACAATACGTTTGGGACACGTTAAAAATTTATATTTTTATGTAGTTTTTATATGTCATATATGAATAGTTTATTCAAAGGTAATGAAAAAAAGTAATATAACACTAATTAAAATAAAAAAATTGATATATTTCATAACTTACATATCAAGATATTATTCACGTAATAATTGCAATCTAAAGAATGCATTACGTTGTTATTATGAAGAATTTTTTTGGGTCCTTTTTTGGGAAGAAATGCAAGGGTCTTTGAAGACAAATTTGGAGATTTGGATAACTTGTGGGATGATGTCCATCTTTTGACATCTTTTTAGGTTTCGGTGGCTTTCCACCCTTTAAAGGGGTTCCGCTCTTTCTGATCTCTAGGGATTGGGTGTTAGTGTGCAACGTGAAGTTTCTTGTTTTCTTTTGCATTGAATTATACTACTTCTATTTTGAGGACTCCTTGTCCTCTTTTATACGTCATTTCTCTTTTAATAATTTTTTTTTGTTGCCAATTTAAAAAAGAAAGAAAGAAATTCATCACATAGGTTGAGATCGGAGGGTTTAGGAAGTGTTTGAGAAATTTCTTAGTTGTTGTTGGTATGAATTTAAATTTTTATTAACACATGTTGCACAAGTGTCGGACACATTTTTAGAAATGCTTGTATAGTGTCATGTCTGACACAACACGCCTCCTACATAGAAGTGTTTGTGCTTTTTAGGATGGCACCAATCCCCCAAGCATTTCCCTTCCCTCCTAAATTATCAATTGTAAGAATAAGCCTACTTGGTCACAGTCCAAGAGAAGAAAGCTTCCTTAGACATGGCTTAGGACTTGGCTGTTGACTAGCTTTGTACTTTGCAAAGTTGCAACGTTGGGCTGTCATGCGCCAATTTTTCAAAGATTAATTAGGCATAAACTAATTAACCTAAGCATGAGGTTTTTAATAAAAAACTCATTTTCTTAATTAATTCTTTCTCAAAATCTTTTTTCTTAGTCAATTTTCAATTAATTCCTAAACTTTGGTTTATCTCATCAAAACATGCCCAAAGGCCTACAATTGAATAGCATTAGAAAACATGTCCATTTTCCCTTTATTAAGCTTAATTTGACTTTATGTGACGAAAATAAGTATTTTTGGGATATAACTGGCTTGCCTTGGGAAACGTGCCCAATCGTTATTTTAAAAGAATAATGGTTACATGTTTTTGAAAAATATGTGAAACATTCAATTTCTTGAATAAAGCTCTCCGGTACACATTCCCATGAAATGAAATAGAGCATAATATAATGGAGAAAGTGTTTATTACAAACCCAAAGATTAATTAATACAAATAATCTGACAAAAAGGTATAGAGGCATGCATGACCAATTAACCTAGGGTCTAAACTTAACAAAATAAACTACGTCTTGATGCTCACATTGACGAGCATTTATCAGTACCCACACAATGCAGGGGGGTGTGAGTATTGACACTCACCTAACAATAATCTTATTTCTTACCAAGTAAACATGCTAGTGTAGTGTCAAGTAAAATTATGCAATCAAATGCCCAAAGCCGAGATTAACGTTCTTAATCTTATTAAGGCCATCTCATTTAATTAGCTCACACTGAATAATTAGATAAAAGAAATGATCCAAAATCAGTAACTGCCAACAGGGTGCTAATAAACTGCTAACAGGGCAATAAACTTGGCCTTGTCAACACATACCGTGTCCGAGCTGTAATAAATAAATACCGGTCCTACCTTGATCACACCCCAAGCTCACTACGAGCTGTGCTCAGAAGAAACTCCATCCTCATACTACCACAGGCTACTACTCATCTAAACTGTGCAGTGGTCGGGAATAACCGGCATATAGTTGGATCCACTATCTTTCTTAAGCTTACTGGTCCACAATACCAGCTATAAGCCTATAACCTGGGCTATGTTCGTAAAATCAATAATACTAGGACTTGCGTGATAATTTGCTAGGCCAACTAATAATAATAAATTACACTCAAATAACATAGAAATAATAATTATCAGGCTTGGAGAATCCATCTCTCAAATCTCAAATTGGATCAGGCCAATGTGCGCACGATATGAGGCAATTGATGCTTTGGGATTTCCAATTCACTAGAATATCTCTAAGTTAACCAGTAACACTGTATAAGAATAAAAACATCTAATACTGAGATCAATGAATCTATCTCTCGGATCTTGTGCTAGTTCGGGCCTGAGTGCATGCAAAACGAGATGATTGCCGCACTGCTTTCCACAATAAAGAAATTCTAATTTAATAGGATTGACCCTAGGATTATATTAACACAGTCTATTGGGCCTGGAGGGTCTGTCCCTTGAGTCCCATGTCGGCCCAAACCGAGATGACTGGATGTGCATACAATTAAGAAAATGTGAGACATTTGATAGAACATTTAGTAAGACATTTGGGGTCCCTAGCATTACTCTACAATTAATTGATGGAGTTCTAAATTGAAATGAATAGGGAAACTTCTAGGCTTAATTGCATTAATCAAAGGTTTAAATTTTTCTCGGTCATTACATGTGCCATTCTAATTTGATGCATGGTTTTTAAATGATTTCTTTCAGGAGACATCCATAGAATTGGTTATAATCGATGATGATGGAATTGCACAATCCATCTGTGAGCAGCCTGTATTTGGCACAATAAAAGATCTCATCATTCTACCATGGAATGAGAAGTTCCATGCAAGAAGCCCACAGGTCTGTTAGTTCACTCAATTTCAATGAAATTTTGTTGAGATGTTTTTCTAGGTCCCCACGTACCAAAGTGAAAAAATTGTGGAATTCTTTGAAGAACAGTTAAATATATTTTACTGATTGAAAGTTCTTGCTTGTCGGAGGATGTGTTTCTCTATAATGCCATTATCAGATTGTTCTGGATAGGATTCTCTCTCTTCTTTGCTTTTCATTCATGATGGGATCTTTTCAGTGATTTTTTACGAGATGCTTTTCTAGGTCTCTGCTTGTCATAGTGGAATTTGAAGAGTTGTTGAGAGAGTAGTTAAATATATTTTACTGAAAGAAAGCTTTTTCATGTAGGAGGATGTATGTCTCTATAATGTTTATATTTATCAGATTGTTCTGAATAGGATTTCTCTTTCTCTCTGTGTCTCTCTCTCTCTTGCTTCTTGTAGATGATGGGGAAAGATCTTCTGGTTGTTATTTCTGATTCGGGAAAGCTCTCGTTCCTCACATTTTCTAATGAAATGCACAGGTCTTTGTTTTCTTGCTCTAACTTTTTACTTACCTCTTTTATTGCAAGAAAAATGCATGACCTCTGATGATAATATGTATATATATTTCCTGTTTTTTAAATGTCAACTTGCCAAGACATTCTTTTTTTTTTTTTCTTCAAGGAAACTTACTTTTACATTACATAAAGCTTACTTTTATTTCACACTTGTTGGAGTAGGTTTTTCCCATTGACACACGTTCAACTTTCTGCTCATGGCAACTCAAGGCATCAAGTTGGAAGGATGCTGGCTGTTGATTCTACGTAAGTGGCTTGTCTTGCTAAAATCTGGGAGAAATATTTATCTTTGATATTTGTACATCAAAAGAGGAATAATTTGACTAAGTTATTTATGAAACTTTCATGTGGTTACCTGCTAGTCTAGGCTTCATGCCCCCACTCTCAATCCCCAGCAGGGAAAATTACATTGACCTCCCCTAACGTTTAGCAAAATTGTAGGAACCTCCCCCAATGTTTCTAAATTGACAGAGACCTCCCTTATCAGGCATGTTTTCCACTCTTTTACCCTTAATTATTTGTTATTGGGTAAATTACACTGCACCGTCTGAGGTTCGTTTTTAATCCAAAATTTTTCTCACATTTTGGAAATTACACTCACTCCTTATTAGTGCTTGTCTTTTAATGTGAAAGATAAACTTTCTATATTATCCTTACATATTAATGCAAAAAGATATTAATATCCACACTTATCTATTCTCATCTTTCCTCCTGGGTTTGTAGGAAGGGAAAAATAGGTAATAAGGTAATTGTAATTTATTATAAGGGGGTAATAATAAAATTTAATATTTTCCATTAATCCCATTAAGAGCGGAGAGCACCCCTATTCTCATGACAACCATTTAAAATTTTTTAAAATTTTGTTCTCTGTTTACACCCCTCATATTACGGGTGCGTCTATTTACACACTACATTTAATCTCACAATTTTAACCTTAGGTAAAATGACCACAAAGGACAAAGGGCTATGATACACACGATTTGTATAATTACCATAAAGGACAATAATAAATATAATACACATCAAGAATCTTAAATATTATTTACGTATCTTGTCTCTCAAGAATTGAAAAACCCTAAAACAAAAACCAAAAACCCTTAAAAGAAATAACCAAAAATATACGTATTATTGAAGATTTTGATTGGATTCAATGATGGATGCATCTGACAATACTGGTTTGGAACAATGGACCAAAGAAAAGGTTTTTTTTTTCATTTTCGTGTACTTGTTGAGTGGTAAACTGTTTGTATTAGTTCGGTTATCCAGAGGCGAATAATATATTCATGTTCAACTACCTACAACCGAACAAATTGTATATGTTCGGTTTCATAGTGTTGAACATACTCCAATTATTCGGTTTATAAGTATCGAACAAGCACCAATTGTTCGGTTAGAAACAGTCGAACAATTCTTCTTAGTTCAACTCTATACTGTCGAACACTTATAAACTCTTCAATCTAAGCCAAATGAGAATTCTCACCTACTATATCTACAATGTGGAGTTGTTTCCAACTGTGACGACAACGAGCACCACCGGCGTCTTGAGGAGTCTTCACCAATGGTTTTGTTCACCACTGGTTTTGAATGGAGGGGGAGATGGATCGTGGATGGGGGTGGGGTATGTGAGGGTAAAGATGAAAGATTGTGGGTGGGGTGTGTGAGTAAGGGTAAAGATGAAAAGTTGTGTGTATTGAGTAAATTGTTTATTTATCAATTTATTAAAGGTGTGCCTTGAGATGAAAAGTGGTGTGTAAATAGAGGCACCCTCATATTACCTGTATTTACAGCGCTCATATTACAATCCTACCCTCATCCTTAACTTGTAACCTCTTGCTCTCTTTTTCTCTTTCACTCTCTTCCCTTCTCTCTCTCTCTCTCTCTCTCTCTCTCTGTCACACACACACACACACATCTATGGTTTCGAAGGGTGACGGCTAGGGTTTCGAAGGTTGTGGAAAGGGGTGGTAGGTAAGGTTTTGCAGGTGGTGGGAGGAGGTGGAACGACTTGTGGGGTAGGGAGGGGGGAGGTTGGGCTTCATCAGGGAGAGGAGGGGTTGGTGGTCTCGTGTAGGTAGGGAGAGGGGCTATGGGGAGAGATGGAGGTAGAGGGGCTGAACTAGAAGTATCAAATATTTTTTAAAGAACTAAATTAAAATTTTATTGACTTTGTGATGCAATTACATATTTTTCTTGAAATCCAACGCAATTTTTTTTTATTGATTTGTCAAAATCTTCATTCAAAAGATTCAAACAATAATAAATATGAATAAAAACATTTATGTTATAGCACCATAATTAAATGGGTTAATTACATGGACCCCCATGAGGTATCTAACAATTATAGAGGCCTCCCCTTAACAAATCCCTTATGTTATAAGCTGACCATATAGCCAAACAACATCTATAAAAATATTTCCCTATAACTAAACAACTCAATCAGCCAATACAAACCCAATCCCTCTTTGCAGAGTCGGTGCCCGCACGGGATAACAGTGTTTACAGAGTTGGTGTTGCATGGGTTCGATTGCAATGGTAGTGTGGCTGGGTTTGAGTTGGTGGAGGGGCTGGGTTTGAGGTGGCAAATATGGCTTAATGTGAAGCTCCTCTGATTCATTGCATGACTTGCTGACACCCCCAAATTCCATCAACACCATTTTCAACACCAATTTTACTAATAACAAACAGCCACTTCCTATATACACTTACATAAATGCATAACACACACACATATATGTATGTACATAATACGTGAAAGAGACAGAATCACCTCATCCCCTCAACTTTCTACTCAGATCTGAAATTTGAAGTTGAGAATTTTTCCTTCTCCATATTTCTCAACAAACCTAAGCTACATGTTTGTGTATATATATACATATACACCAATCCCTTTTCTTATATTCAATTTTCCTTGAAAGCATGAATTAACTCTCAAAGAAAGTAGCAATCAATGGTGCAAAATTAAAATTAAAAATACTCAGTCAGTTTGTATATATATATGTATATTGTCTAAGTTTGATGACATATGTAAATGGTGAGTTTGATTATTGAAAGAAGTGGGTTTATAAATCTATTTAGATGTATGTAAATCAATGGTAGGTGTGGATTTGATTGTCGTGCAAATTGATCTATGCTTAATGGGGAAATGGTAGGGATGGGGAAATGGTAGGTGTTGGTGGTTTTACAGAAAAATAGGGAAATAGCAGGGAGGAGTATGTTTGGTATTTAGATTAAGGTTGTCTGGTAATATAAAAAGGGATACAAATAGAAGGGTAAAAATGTAAAATCACTTTTGCTGTCAATTGACAACTTTGACAGGGGAGGTCAGTGTAATTTCATAAACTATAGGGGGAGGTCCCTGTATTTGTCAGATACCTTAGCGAAGATTCGTGTAAACCCTAATTAAATTCATAGAACCTTTCCATTCACAAAAATTAAATTCATAATTGGAAATAGTAAAAATAAAAAATTTGAGATCAAAGAAAATTATAAATTAATAAGCATACTTGATATTTGTGTAGCTATTGTTAAGCAATTAAGACTACAAATTTTCATACCCAAAAAATAAAAGAAAGGTTAGATCACCGATGACTTAGTTTGGATATGGAAAAAATTTTGATACACACACAATGGCAGAGAGTCGAATACATGGGTTGGATTGAATTTGAAAAGAGGTAGACAAAGTATGAATTTTTATTTGGTAAAACCCCTAAAGAGAAATAGAGATTCAATGAGAATCTTTACCAAAATGGATTTTGATAGTATTATAATCAAGGTGAAATTCTTCTATTAGGTATTGATAATTTTTAGTAAAAAATAAAAATGCACTCAATGCATATGATGGAGGGACTTTTTTAACTTCTATGAGTGGATGGGACCACTCATTTATACAAAATGCTTGATTTATTCTTCTGAACATATATTTTGTACTAGAAAAAATATTTAGGGTAGCTATTAACTGTATTTTGATGTACCGTATACTTGGAAAGGTTACTATAAAAGAATTTAAAAAAATTTAGGTGGGGCTATGGCCCTTCCTTAACTCCCCTTAGTTCCGCTCTTAGGGTTGGGGGTTGTAGTTGTAGGAAGGAGGTGGTGGGGGAGTCATGGGGCATCAAGGAGGGGTGGCTAGTGTTGGGAAGTGGAGAGGAGGCGGGGGAAAGGAGGATTTAGGAAAGGAGGTGGTGGAGAAGGGAGGAGAGGGGGTATAGGTTGGTGGAAGGGGGGAGGGGTTGAGGGAGAGTGGTGGGGAAGGCGGTTAGTTGGGAGAAAGGGTTTATGGTGGAAGGTAGAGAGGGGAAGGGGGGGGACTATTGCGGCGAGTGGGGTAGGTTTGGGGGATGACAATGGCGATTGTGGTCAATGGTGTGGGGAAGGGTGATGCGCAGTATAAAAAGCTCAAGGAAAGTTAAATTCAAAGAAGCAATGATATTTGGATGTTGGCATGACGTCAAAGAGAAAGTGATTAGAAGCTTATATAATTATATTTATAGTATTATTAGAGGTGTATTTTATAATTATATTTATGTTTTCTTGGATTTTAAGCTTAGGGGTATTTTGGTAATTTGCATAATTTTTGAACACGTTGTGTGGGTCGCCCATGGGTCGTCTCATGGGTCAAGTTATTTAATTAGTCTTTGTTTTAGTTTATTATTTAGTCTTAGATTAATTTTGGAAGTCAAAGATATTATGATAGTTTCCTTTTTTGGTTATAGTTGGTTTCGGAAGTCTCCCAGTTCTCTACAAAGCCATGTAATGCTTATAATTGAATAGACTTAATATTTTAGAGAATTTTTAGAGCTTTGAAGCTTTCTTATGGATTGTGTGATGCAATCAAACCCTAGGTGTGATGCCTAAGGGGTTTTAGGAGTGATTCCTAGACCTATCCGCTTCTTCTCCTTTCTTTCTTTATTAAATTTCAGCGCTTTCACAGGCCCAGAACAGCCCTTACATCGCTGTCCTGCATCAAAGGGTCATGACAAGTGGTGGAGGAAGGAAAGGAGTGGCGGCGGTGTATGACAGTGATGGCAGGCTGGTAGAAGGTGGTAGCGAAGGGAGGTTATTAGTGTCATTTTTGAAATTGTGGGGAGGTCTCTGCAATTGTCATAAACTTCAGGGGAAGTTAGTTTAATTTATCCTAAAATATTTATATGACTTCTAAAGGGTAAAAGTGGTATTTTTGAAAAATAAATTGACGAGCTTTGGTATTTATCAAAAAAAAAATAAAATTGGTGAGCTTTGCACTTCCCATTAACATTAGTAATAGAGACGGTGGAGACTGGAATATGTCATGTGCCAGTGAACTAGAGCGGCAACCAGTGTCATTTTTGAAACCTCAAGGGGAAGTTCTTGTAATTATGAGAGAATTCAGGGGAGGTCAATGTACTTTACCCAAAATAAATCAATAAAACCTTTTCCTAGTGTCCTTATTGTGGAACTTATTGGATTACTTTTGCAATATTAAAAAAATGTGCAGGGCTCATTGGATAGCAAAGGCACAAATCAGTATGAGCATCTGGAATTCATTTTGATGTAGTTTCTTTTATGTTTTTTTCTTTGTTAGTGGCTGCTTCATTGCTGCTAGTGCATTTGAGGATCGATTGGCTATGTTCTCAGTTTCAATGTCTGCTGGCAGTGATATCATTGATAAGGTTGAGTTACTTGTTTTGTTTGCCCTGTCTTGGAAGAAGTTAATCTCTTTATGAAAGTTGAGAAAGTGTAATACTGTTTAGTTCCTTATGATGATATAAGCATTCTACATTTCCTTATAAAAAAAAAAAAAAAAACTTTCATAGATGAATTAATAAAATTCTTGCATCGTGCCATCATTTCAGAGAATATTTTATCCTTCTGATAATGAAGGAGACTCAAGTACTGCCAGAGGTCTCACCAGTATTTCTGGTACTATATGGAGCATGTGCTTTATTTCTAGAGATTTTCGTCACGCAAGTAAGGAGCACTACCCTGTATTAGCCATTCTACTGAATAGGTATGATGATACATCACAACTTCTTATGGAATTGTTTCATGTTTTCTGTTCTTCCAAATAGCTGTTGGTGGGTACTCTCTCTCTCTCACTCTCTCCCCCTCATTCTTTTTTTTCTTTTTTCCTGGAGTTTAGTTTTTCCTTTTCTTTTAGTTGTGGTCTTGTGAGGTTATTTTGGCTCCTTTATGAATTGTTTGGAATGGTTAGGAGGCTAATAATGTTGGGTGCTGCAGGAGGGGTTCTTTCCTGAATGAGCTTTTGTTATTGGAATGGAATACTAGGGAACATGCTGTTGATATGATTTCTCAGTATGAAGATGCTGGATCTCTAGCACATAATGTGGTTGAAGTTCCTCATTCTTATGGATTTGCCATTTTGTTCAGGGTTGGTGATGCTCTCTTAATGGATCTCAGGGATACTCACAACCCTTGTTGTGTCTATAGAATGAGCTTTAGTGTTTTACCTACTGCAGTGGAGGAGCAGAATTTTGTTGAAGAATCATGTAGAGTACATGATCCTGATGAAATATTTAATGTTGCTGCCTCTGCTTTACTGGAGCTAAGTGACATGGTTAAAGATGATGATCCCATGAGTATAGATGGAGATTGTCGCAATGTCAAATCAACCTTGAAACGTGTGTGCTCATGGAGCTGGGAACCAGGAAATGGAAAAAATCCAAGGATGATATTTTGTGTAGATAGTGGAGAACTTTTTATGATTGAAATTTCTTCTCATTCTGATGGCCCTAGAATTGATCCATCTGAATGTCTCTACAAAAGTTTGCCATGCAAAGCACTCTTGTGGGTTGAAGGTGGATTTTTGGCTGCGCTTGTTGAGATGGGAGATGGGATGGTCTTGAAGTTGGAAGATGGAAGGCTGTTTTACAGAAGTCCTATTCAAAACATTGCACCAATCTTAGATATGTCAGTCATGGATTACCATGATGAGAAGCATGATCAAATGTTTGCCTGCTGTGGGATGGCACCAGAGGGATCTTTGAGGATTATTCGAAGTGGCATCAGTGTAGAAAAGCTTTTGAGAACTGCCCCTATTTATCAGGGCATAACTGGTACCTGGACAGTAAAAATGAAAGTAATTGATTCTTATCATTCTTTCCTAGTGCTATCATTTGTTGAACAAACAAGGGTGCTGTCAGTTGGCTTAAGCTTTACAGACGTGACCGATACAGTTGGTTTCCAGCCTGATGTCTGTACCTTGGCATGTGGCCTTGTGAGTGATGGTGTGCTGGTCCAGGTATACCAAAATGCAGTTAGACTTTGTTTTCCTACTACTGCCGCCCACCCTGAAGGTATTCTTTCATCGTCTCCAATTTGTACACTCTGGTCACCTGATAATATCAGTTTCAGTCTGGGGGCAGTTGGACATAATTTGATACTTGTTACTACTTCCAGTCCAAGCTTCTTATTTGTTCTTGGGGTCAGATATCTATCAGTGTGTCACTGTGAAGTATTTGAGATGCATCGTGTGAGATTGCAGAATGAATTGTCCTGCATATCTATCCCTCAGAGGCATTTTGAGCAGAAACCATCAACGTCTCGTGGTAATATGGTGCCTAAGAGTCTTGTAGATACCCTTCCGGATGGAGTTGACATTGGTAATACCTTTGTTATCGGTACACATAAGCCTTCAGTGGAAATTTTGTCTTTTGCAACTGATAAAGGTCTAAGAGTTCTAGCTGTGGGGACCATTTCTTTAACAAACACTACAGGAACTGCTATTAGTGGCTGTGTCCCTCAAGATGTAAGGCTCGTATTTGTTGATCGACTTTATATTCTTTCAGGATTGAGGAATGGAATGTTACTTCGATTTGAGTGGCCTGCTGCCTCCACAATGTCCTCATTAGTGTCGTCCAGTCAGCGGAGTTGTGGCAGTTCCTGTTTGGTAAACTTGGATGCTTCCTCATTAAAAGATACAGGGCCCCAAATTTGTGCTTTTGATTTATTTGAGAAGTATAAGGACAATTCTGTGCCTCTACAGTTAGTTGCAATACGCCGCATTGGCATTACTCCTGCTTTCCTGATTCCATTGAGTGATTCTCTTGATGCTGACATAATCGCTCTGAGTGATAGGCCTTGGTTATTGCAAACTGCTAGGCATAGCCTTTCATATACATCCATGTCCTTTCAACCTTCAACACATGTAACTCCTGTTTGTTCAGTTGAATGCCCCAAAGGAATTTTGTTTGTTGCAGAGAGCAGTCTTCATTTGGTAAGAGTAACAATCTGTTGTTTTATATGTTGTAGTGGTTTTGTATCTACCTTTTAAGGATGATTTTCCCTTGAATAAGAATGTTATCCTGCATGGCCACATACAATTTTGATTTTATGATGATATATTTTGCTTTTATTTCTTAATTCTGATATTTGTTACGGGAATTCTCCTCTCTCTCTCTCTCTCTCTCTCTCTCTGGGTGGGGGTGGGGGGAGGTTGATATACTTGCATTATTGGTGCAAACTGTTTGAATGGCAGAAAATAAAACAATGTTTTGGATGGTAAACATTGAATTTCAAAGTAGTTTCTTTTAAGATTTTGATTTGTGAGTATGCCATTGCATCCTTAATGGATGTGTTGTAGTTAGTGTTACCCAGAAAGCATGATAAACCTCTGCTTGTGTCGAGTTTGGTGTTGTATCTTTTACACAGCTGGTCCAAGCCATGAGAATTGTGGTAGGTAGATGATCTATGTAAAACTTGTAGTCACACATTATGAACATGGATCCTACCCCCAGTGATTGCGAACAAAGGATGTTGGGTTGAGTTGTATGAGGAATTGGAATAAGATGAGTGTAGGCTTATACTAGTCCTGTAGTTGGAGTTTGATGAAGTAGTAGTCCTAATCACCATAATTGTAATAATAAATCTTCAAAATTGTTGAATCCATTTTTTTAGTGTGGAATTGTATGGTGTAGATTACTAGGGTATATGATTGGGATCAAGAAAAGGGAGGCATGTATGTTAGGTGTCAATCTATGTTACGTGGACTCTTCAAAATAAATCAAATACCCGTGTCGGATACCCGACACTCGTACGAGGGTGTGGAATGTGTTCGGTACTTTCTATTGGATACTTCTCATATATTTATACTTAACACTATCTTATATGTATAATTTGTTGTGTAATTGTTATAAAATACATTTTTGATGTTGCACGTTACATATAGTTCCATTTCATCTCCATAATAGACTTTTTTTGAACAATAGCCCCATAATAGATTATAAATATAAAAATATGGCTCTTTTTTTGCCTAGTCCGCGTACCCTTAAATTTGAGATTTGATGAGTCCGGCCTCTAGATATGCACTTGCACCCAACATTTGTACCCAAATCCATCTAACATAGGTGTCAATTAGAAGATTTGAAATTTTAGGAAATTTAGTTTTATTAGGATTTAGATATATTTTCCCTCGATTTCCTTGTGGAATATATACTGATTGTGTATGGAAAACGCTTGCGCATTGATGAATCAATATTGATTGAGAATTCTTTGAAAACCATAATTTTTTCATCAACTTTTATGGTGCTACACCATCTTTTATAAGAGCCAAAACAATGATCTTCTCATAGGCTTGTCACCGACAACAACGCAATCTATCAGCACCGAAATGCCAGACTTTCACTCCTTTCTGATCTACGACGCAAGCCCATGGATCCGATATGTGATTTTCGTGTTAGTAATCTACTTGACTCGTTGCCAACTTGCTGTCAATTGCAAGGTTTGTCCACCATAAGTCATTGCCAATGACTCTTGTTCTTTCCTAGAATTGCTGTATCGCAGGAACCCTAGTCTTCAAACAATCATTACTGTTGCTACATATTGCAAGAAGCCTAGGGTTTCAGTCGTCGATCATGGGAGGAAGATCACTAAATTGCTGGGTTATAAAAACATTCAGAATCACAGATGTTAAAATTCACCTACTATACACCTACCACTACCACCTACTACACACTCACCTACTTCACCTACTCTCCACCTACTCTCCACCTACTCCTCACCTACTCCATACCTACTACACACTCACCTATTCTCTTCCCACATCCTCTCTTCTATATATAGGAATATATAGGAATCATTGTAATATATCAACAATATATATCAATCAATAATACAATTCTCTATTTCTCTTTATACATTAAATTTCTACAACAGATGATACATCAATTACAGAGTTGAATTTTGTAATAAGGCAATAAGGTTAAATATGGAGAGATATTAGAGACAGAAAAGAGAAAAGAAAGAACACAAAGGTTTAACATGGTTCAACCAATATTGACCTACATCGACACACACAAAGCCCTATGGGCTACATTTTTCATTCACTCTTGTTTACATGATACACCATATATATAGAATGGGTGATACAATGAAATCACTTCAAGTAAGGAATTGAAGTAAATCGAAGATACAAAAAATCATAATAAGGACAAATCATGGGATCTTGATATATTTTGATATCTTGCATATCTTCTGATATCTTTGACAATATAATATTATCTCCAACACTCCTCCTCAAGTTGGAACACAGAATGGTTGAAGTGAAGTGTCCAACTTGAACTCGAAAATACGATATTCATTACAAACAACTACAATGAAGTTGCTGAAAGATAACAATTATAGTCACTCCCTTCAATGACAACTTCAAAGAACATAGGCAAGGAATCAATGTCTTGCAACAGAGAAATGTGCATGGAATCAATCACGATGGCAGCAAGAGAAACCAAGCAACAGAGAGAAACCAACAAGGCCGAAACAACAACAAATCACCACAAAAAGAAAGGCCGAAAAAAAGCGTCCCACAAAGAATGCTACCGAACACACCGGTAGCCTCGAAACAAGTAAAAATGACAGCTTGCTTACCACATCAGCAAACTAGTGGTCAACACAAGGAGGAAGGAAAAACACCTTGAGGGAAAAAAAAAAAATGTAGAGTGAGAAAGCACTCCATAGAGAAACATGTCTAGGATTTGGTAGGCTCTATTACCAAGTTGAATTTTGTATTAAGGCAGTAAGGTTGAATACGGAGAGATAATAGGGACAGAAAAGAGAAAAGAAAAAATACAAAGGTCTAACGTGGTTAAACTAATATGGACTACATCCACACACGCAAAGCCCTTTGAGCTACATTTTTCATTCACTCAACTTAATACTCTTGTTTACATGATACACCATATATATAGAGTGGGAGATACATTGAATCCCTTCAGGTAAGGAATTGAAATAAATAAAGACAAAAAATCGTAATAAGGACAAATCACGGGATCTCCATATATTTTGATGTCTTTCATATCTTTTGGTATCTTTGACAATATAATCTTGTCTCCAACATAGAGGATGAGTTTCATTGTCTTGATCCAACACTTACGGAGCATTATCTTAGTCATTACTCTTTAGAGTAGAGTTCTTCTTGGCCAGGGAGAATTGATGGGGATCAAGGAAAGGGTGTCACGAAGATGTGTGTTAGGAGCAAGAGACATCAATTGGAAGACTAGCAATTTTAGGAGATTTAGTTTTATTAGGATTTTGTTTGTATTTTTTGTTAAAATTCACCTACTACACACCTACCACTACCACCTACTACACACTCACCTACTTCACCTACTCTCCACCTACTCCTCACCTGAGGTTAGAAATTTTGCATCTCAAACTATTAGGAGACATGATATTGTCATTTTGAGGTTGGCTGGCATAAATTTGACTCTTGATAGCAATACTGCTTGAAGCACTAAAGTGCTTACCTCACGCAGAGCCTTGGAGAGGTCCTCCATTGTCAAGATTAAACGCTTATCCTATTAGAGAGAGAGAGAGATCGGATTAAACTAAAACGAAAAAAAAAAAAAGGGCTGGAAATATACAAAAATAAAAAAATGAAATGTAGAAAAACATAAGTAAAATGTGAGCACCTTTTGCTGCTTATCCCTCTTGTCCTTGACTACAGCTGCCTGCCTTGCCTTGCATTGCCTATATTAAGATGCAGATGGGTAACTTACAATAAACAAATATGTTAAACAACACCGCACCACCAGTACCTAAATAATGAAAATTCGAAGTGCAAATATGAAAATGTATACGATGAACCTGTAAATAGAACTATTGGTGAATCTCAAATGAAAAGACTTCAGTAATGAAAAAATTATCAGAAGTTAGAAACATACTGAAGAGCATCAGTTGCAACCTCTGCAATAAACTTCTGCGTAGCAACAGCTACCAGTCTGATTAATCGAACCTCGGGACATTGAAGCCTGTGGAGTCAAGAACACAGCAACGTTTGTCTTGGTATGCTGGCTCCAAGACAGTTCATGGAACAGAAAAGAAAATAGAAAGTTGAGAGAGAGGACTCATCCGAGGTCATCTCATCTCCTATCTCCTACTGAATATTTGGGTCTATCTGTGATGAATTTGTGGTCCTCCAACCGACCTTCGCAACATGGCATGTCTCTCCACCAGACCCACTTTAATCATATTCATCATCTCGATCGTTGTGTGTGTGTCTCTCTCTCATATTTCCACTTTCAAACCCACAATCTTTTTTTTTTTTTTTTTAATATTTGAGCTCACTGATTCACAAACACACACCAAACCCATGCAAGAAGGTCACACTTCTCACTCTCTCTATCTCTCTCTACTCTTTGTCAACTTTCCCACCATTTCCTTCACCTTTATGCACACCCAGCTGTAGCACAATCTTTCACCCCATTATAATAAATTATCATACGCCATTTCACCCCCTTATAATATCTTATACCACCCCACCTGGGTGTAGTGTGAATTGTTTGAGTATTCAATTACTCAGAACTTTTCTCTCTCTCTCTCACTTTAAACCCTCTCTTTTCCTTTCTTTTTATTTTAATATTGTCCACCCACTTTCCTTTTATTTAAACACAAAACCATTCTTTTTTCCTTTCTTTTATTTTATATATATATGTTTATATATTTTCCTTTCTTTTATTTTTATTTATTTATTTTTTTTACAATTTAAAAAAAATAAAAAAAAATACAATAGAAGTTTCGTTCTACCCAAATACAAACAAAATAACAAAACAAATCACATGTCTGGACTCTTCCAAACCACACCCAGATTCCACACCACCTCCCTGCTTTTTTCTTTCTTTTTTTATTTTTCTTTCACTTTCTTTTTCATCCTTGTTTTTTTTTTTCCTTATTATTTCTGCTCCGTATTATGTCATTCCTGCCATTCGCTTTGCAAATAACATA